GAGAGAGAGAGAGAGAGAGAGAGAGAGAGAAAGAGATGGAGTGAGAGATATATAAAAGAAAGGACCTTGTAACCGATTTTTATATTAACGCGTAGGCCCCTACTAGTGGGTTTTAACTAAAAAAAAAATAATCTTCAATGTTCCTTCTTTGATCGCTCTTCAAATTTAGCCTGAATTATTTAAAGCCAAACTTTCTTTATCTTTTCTACCCCTTTGTAAGCCTTTCTCGAACACCTCCCAAGCATCTTCGGACCTAGTTCTCATAGTCCTCAATGAGATGGGGCACATGGAGGTTCATGCCTCACCATCTTCTCTTAAACCTTTTGCTAATACCACTTGTTTAGAAATTATATGTGAAGGTAAAGAAAGAGAGTGATGGCAATTTTATATCAAAGATAGAGGAAGTAAATAATCATGTTTTTTATTGAACAATTTGCTCTTGAATTTGGCATGTACAAAATGGGAAGGCATAAAGCTTATTTATATTTAAAAATGGAGATAATTATATATCTGACTACTATCTGGCTTATCCTAAACATTTTTTACAACAATCTTTATATATAATTTTTTAGATATTACTAACATAAGGACAATTAATTACAGATCCATTAAAAACAATTTCCAATTAATTCATAAAATATAACTTATTCCATAGATTTTCATAATATTAATATAGTCTCCAAGATACTCCATGACATTCTTTAGATAACTAATTTTTCAAATAACATAAGCAAATTTTTGTGCAAGCACATAAAAAATCATGCTATATGTCAAACTTCAAAACTACGCTGGAAATCTTTGTCCCTCCTAGGCTTGATTATCTATTCTGTTAAGGGCATTATTTCAAGTTTTGTGACTAAGATTTTTCTACGCAGCTCGTATAATTATTTCTTCTTCTAATTATCTACTAACTTAGTTCCTCAAAATTTCTTAAAAAAACCCATATGTTGCGCGTGCATGGCTGAACAGTGCTGCACGTGAAATGATTTTCATGTAACGTATGTAGTTGCATATTTATGAAATTTCAAGGTTCCAATTCCTCCGAGTTATAACAAGTTGCAATTTACAGTTGAAAAATGGCCAACTTAATCAATGGACCATACAGATGCAGAACTATGCCGCACATGCAAAGCATTCCTTTGATAACTGGTTTCTGCATGCATGGCCGAGCAGTTCTGCATGTGAGTTATGCCAACTTTTCATAGACACAATGGTAACCTCAACCTTCACTTTTTTTAAGTATTATTGATTTGCATGTTCCCAATTCTTTTTTTGCCAGAGCAAGTTGTATGGGTACAGCTGCATAAGGGCAACCCGGCCGATCACAGAATATATTGCGTTTATTTCTTTTTGGCTATACCATTTTTTTTAAAAAAAATCGAGTCAATTAAGAGAATTCATATACATATCACATGCACGCAAAAATTTCAAACTCATGACCTCTTAGTTGATAATCAAAGCCCCCAATCATTTCAGTGATATATATATCTAGATCACATTGATGGTCGAATCATACGAAACCCAAAAAAAAAAACAAAGGATACGGGGAGGTGGAAATATTTAGATAAAAATAACCTTTATCAAATTTATGTGTATAACGAGAAATTATTATATGTGGTTATCGGACCGTCCCGAGGCAAATCAGGATGTGTCACGTCACCTAATACAGAACAAAATGATGATATATATCCTGATTCGCCTCAGTACGATGTTCTGTAACCACACCTAATACTTTCTTCTGTATAGCTGGCTAAATCTAGAAAAGCACAAATACTAAAAGAACAGTATCTAGCAAAGAAATGAGAGTTCATGTAACATAAAACTGTTAGTAAATGATCATAAACAATTACGGTTTCATTCATGTCATTTACGTCATCTTCAAAGTATCTTCAAGCTCAAAATTAATTAAATACACACACGTCATATGAAAATTCACGTGCACGCTAACCATCTCACACAAGTTGGCCAGCACAATATGTGGTCGTTGATTGTAGCTACGACTTCCACAACCCACAGCCATACGTTAACATAAACTACAAACATCAGATCCTTCGCTCATCGTCATTTCAATGGTCACCAATGTCATACATCAAAGTAATACCACTTTCATCATTAATACCATCACGAAAATACCTGCACTTCTTCCAAAACTCAATTTCTTTTTTTTGGGTAAACCCAAAACTCAATTTCCACCACACAGACAACGAAGCCTGCGGTCCACAAACCATGCACCGATGTAATTCTAAGCACAAAGCTTTGCATGCCTATAAATAAATCCCAGTTCTCTCACCTCCAGTCATCATTCACTACTCAGCTTAACTCAATGGCTCCAAAAGGAGAAGTTGCTGTCAGCAGTGGAGGCTTCGCCGCCTTCTCAAGAAGATTTGTCGGCTGGAAGAAGGCGCAGGGACAGAGCATGGAAGGACTTCAGAGAGCCATGTCGGATCTTTCATTGCAGCTCAAAAAAGAAACCATCGATGACGCCCGAAATCTTCCGCCGATATCAGAAGTGGAGAACGCTAACTGCGAGTGCTGTGGCATGTCGGAGGAGTGCACGCCGGCGTACATTAAACGAGTCCGGGAAAAGTTTTCTGGGCGATGGATATGCGGGCTTTGTTCAGAGGCGGTGAAGGAGGAGATGGAGAAGTTGGGAGGGAAGAAAGAGGAAGCCATTAATGCGCATATGAGTGTGTGCTCTAAGTTTAGTAGGGTTGGAAGGAAGCAGCCTGTGCTATATCAGGCAGAGGCCATGAGAGAGATTTTGAGGAGGTGTTCTTCTAGGATGGGAGATCCGAAGCTTGCAGCGGAGGCTGCGGGAAAGAAGAATAAGGGAGGGATTATGAGGACTTCGAGCTGTATTCCGGCTATCACAAAGGAGACCAAACGGTCGGCTTTCAGTTAATTAATTGACTTAAAAACATAGAGTACTAATAATTATTTATCACGTCAACGCATCATTATGTATTTGCCTAGAGTTGTGTTAATTATGGAATTATGCATTAATCTGTTTTTTCAATTTTAGAAAAGTAATTGAAAAAAATGAAACGATTATCTTAAATATTCCATCCCTCTCATACTATATTTAATGTATTTTCAATACATTATTATAGTGATTTCTGTATCTTATATTGATGAAATTATTCTGTGAGGTCACCGGATGTTATTCGAAGACGAATTAGAATGTCATACATTATCGGTGCTATGTACCACTATGTACCGGATGATTTGGCTCATTTTGATTCGCTTTTTGACTATCTGGTACTGCACAGAATAATTTCTCTTTATATCGATTCAACGAAGGATGGACAAACCTCACGTCATTTGATGATGATAATGATACATTTTTTTCATCATCATTTGCCCGTTATCTAGCTTCCTACAAGGGGTATCATTCAGGAAAAATAGACCTTAACAGGTTTTTTGTGCCTATGCCTAGAGATCATTCATCATGGTGGTCATGAAAAGTTCTTCATTTACTAAATTGTGATGTCTAAATGTAACCAAATAGGCAATTCTACCTATCTTTCCAAGTCTGTACCGAGGTTGTATCAGCTTTTATGCAATTTATAAAGTTGATTATTTGCTACTTTCTCTTTGTATTTTGATGCATTAATAGAATTGATAAGAGACGTGGTGGGCACTTTAGGGAGAGAAGTACATTTATTAGCTCAGTCTTCTCTTTTATTAATTTGTTAAAATTTATAATGATTTAAAAAAAACTGTTAGCAAGTGTTGCTTAATTTTTAGTTTTTTATAGTCTTTCTACAGGTTTCAGATCGAAGCCATTTTCAAGAACAATTGTTAAGGATAATATGTTTGCTGCGGGGAAGATCATTTAGAAAATATCCTTGTTAATATCTTTTCTGCAACAAATTTTGACCTTTTTTGTTTGGCTACTACTGCCAAACTTTCATTATAAGCTTTTTAAAAAGTTATCTTCTCTTATTAATTATAATCTTATAACAAAATTTATAAAAGTTATAGCCGTCCCAAAAAAGTCCCAAAATATTATAAAAATACATAAAAATAAATTATATATATATATATTTTTTTTCTTACATCTAGAGTGCCTGTCCCCCATTTCCTAGCTCCTTCAGTGTAAATAAAATCATTAATAAAGGGTACTTTTGTTTGTAAGTAGAATTGTGTTGAATCAACTTGCTGCAGAGAGGTCATTTTTTATTTCATCGCTCGAGTGTTTGCCCTAGCCGCTCTGGCGATTTAGCTTTTCCCCTCTTCTCTTCGTCTCCAACCCTTTTCTCCTTCTCTTAGCGTTTTGTTTCTCCCATCGTCTGCTCTGTTTTGGCTCTCTGTGCTGCGCTGTGCCCCTTCTGGGCCCTGTTTGATGGCTGCTGCGGCTCCTTCCTCCTCCTGGGGGAAAGCTTCAGAGCCAGTGCTGCATAAGAATAAAGGTTTCTTCTACCTTGAAGATGATACTCCGAAATCTCCTTCTAGATCTAGATCCTTCAAAGAGGTACTCTCTGGAAAAGCCGCATCAGGTGATGAACTTCCATCTCTTACGCAATCTACTTTTAATGGGGTTCTTGCGGTTTTACTCTCTGATTAAGAAGTTCTCAAACTTGCCTCTCCCTTCAAGTTTACTCTTGTTGGTAAATTTGGGTTACGTAGACCCAATCTTGATGCTATTCGTCAATTTTTTGCTTCCTTAAAACTGTCTGGCTTTTATTCTGTTGGTTTGCTTGACTCTAGGCATGTTGCGATCCAATTATCGAACGATCTTGATTATAATCAGATTTTTGCCAGGAGATCATATTTTATTTTCAACTGTCAAATGCGTATTTTGAAATGGACTCCGTTTTTTGACATCAAAGCAGAATCTCCCATAGTTCCTGTGTGGATTTCATTTCCTAACCTTCGTCTTCACTTTTTCAATCAGCAAGTGTTGCATGCATTAGGTTCTATTTTTGGAAGACCGTTGCAAACGGATCAAGCAACAGCATCCCGCACTAGACCCTCTGTTGCTCGTATCCTCGTTGAGGTTGACATTTCTAAAAAACATCCTAAAGAAATCTAGGTTGGTTCTAAAACCTTAGGTTACTTCCAAAAAGTTGAATTTGACAATGTTTCTGATTTCTGCTCCCATTGCAAAATGCATGGGCACGCTCAAAATGATTGTTTTAATTTGCACCCTGAACTTAAAAAATCTAAAATTATGTCTAATGGGAAGCTTGGCTCCGCCGATTCTCAAAAAACCTATGTGCCTGTTAGTGAAAAATCTATCGAGAATGTGGAAAATTTGGAGAAAATGGTGGAACCGCAACCTGCTATTCATAATTTGGATGACACGATTTTAAATATATCTGATGCTATTGTTGTTAATGGAATTTCTGCTGATGATGCTTTACAATTTACTTCTAAAACTTCTTTAAATGATACTATGATCAATGATCCTCTTCATGATGATGTTAGTGCTTTAAATGATCCTTCCCTCTTTGTTTCTATTGCTTCCATGTTTAATGAAGTTAACAATGGTGACATTACTGAAAATTATTCTCAACCAGCTTTGTTAGAAAAATAAGCTTCTTTGTTAAACAATAATGTTAGTGAGGAACGTAAAGATGGGGAATTTATTCCGCCATCTACGTTCAATGCTCCTTCAAGCTCTCATGCTAATCATGACATTTTTGTGAATAGCAAAGAGAAATGCAAAGGTCCTCAAGAGGAGAATTTTCAAATTGTTTCAAGGAAAAAAAGTAAGCAATCTAAGCATGTTGATCATGTTATTTCTAGATCAACAAAATCGAAAGCTTCTTCAGAAGGTTTGCAATGATTAAAGCCATCATATAGAATGTTAGAGGTATTGGTGGTATGGACTCTAAACTTAGAGTTTGGAATTTATGCAGAATTTATAACACTCAAATGCTTGTTTTGATTGAACCTTTAATTAATATTTCCAAGATTTCTTCTACTGCTATGTTCTTAGGCTTTCCTAATTTTCATGCTAATTGTTCCAACAAAATTTGGATTTTGTGGAAACCTGCTTTTTCTGTTGACATTATTGAGGACTTACCTCAAGTATGCCATTGCTATATTTCTCTTTTCAACATTAACTGCTACGTTTCATTTGTTTATGCCGCTTGCACTAAAACGAATCGTATTCCTTTATGGAATCAATTGAGACAATTCGCTTCTATTATCAATGGACCTTGGTGTATTGGTGGTGATTTCAATATTATTTCTAACGTTTCGGAAAGGATTGGTGGTAACCGTCCCAATGCTAATGCTATGGATGATTTCAATTCTATGATTAGTGATTGCAAGTTGAACGATATCGGTTATTTTGGTAGCCCCTTTACTTGGCATAGAGCGAATTTATGGCAAAGACTTGATAGATGTCTCTTTAATGATGACTGGATTGCTGAATTTCCTTTATCTAACATTGAGCATCTTAGTAGAACCCTCTCTGATCATTCTCCTCTTCTTCTTAGTTTTAACAAGTGTTTGCATCATAATGCTAAGATTTTCATATTTCAAAATATGTGGATGCTTCATGCGGATTTTCCTACTCTTTTATCTTCTAATTGGAATGCCCCTGTTTATCCTAATAACAATATTACTGGTATGTTAAGATTATGGTATAAACTTTCTAGATTTAAACAGTGCTTAAAATGGTGGAACAGAAATATCTTCAAAAACTTATTTTCTAACATTAAAGAGACTGAGGCTAAAGTTTCCTCTTTAGATAACATTTACCAGCAAGACCCGATTTCTGATAATTTGTTATCCCTTAATCAGGCCAAGGAGTCTCTCCTTCTTCTTCAATGTCAAGAAGAATGTTATTGGAATCAAAAGTCCAATGCTAAATTCCTTTTAGAAGGTGATAGAAACACTAAATTCTTTCATGCTTTAGCTAACAAAAAGAAAACTAGAAGTCATATTCACAAGATCATTGATATGAATGGTAATGTTATTACCACTGACGATTCCATTTGTAATTCCGGTGTGAATTATTTTCAGCATATCTTTAACTCCTCTACTGATTGTCTGCCTATTACTAACCCGTATTTAATTCCTAAGCTTATTACTGAGGTTGACAATGCTATGCTTTGCCATAATCCTACTGAGGATGAAATTTTCAATGTTATTAAAGATCTTAACAGCAATGCTGTTGCGGGTCCTGATGGTTTTACTACTAAATTCTTCCAAGACAATTGGGAGATTATTAAGGATGATGTCATTAATGCTGTGGAAGATTTTTTTGCTGGTAACTCTTACCCTAAATTTTTCTCTTCTATTTATATTGTTCTCATTCCTAAGAAAGATTGTCCTACTCATTGGCAAATTTTAGACCTATTAGTTTATGCACGTTTCTTAATAAGTTGAATTCTAAAATCATTGCTAAGAGATTAATTAACATTCTGCCTAATATTATTTCTCTTAATCAAACTGGTTATGTGAAAGGCAGAAGCATTTTTGATAATGTTTTGTTAGCTCAGAAAATTACTCATGATATTAATGTTAAAGTTAAAGGTGGTAATGTGATTTTTAAACTTGATGTTTCTAAAGCCTATGATAATATCAACTGGAATTTTCTTTACAAGGTTCTTTCTCTTTTTGGATTTAAAAACTTTTTCATTTCTCTAATCAAGAATAGCACTGAAAACTATCATTTCTCTGTTATCATCAATGGCAAGCACAATGGTTTTTTCAAATCATCCAAAGGTTTAAGACAAGGTGATACTATGTCCCCTGCCCTCTTCATTATTGCTATGGAATATCTTTCTAGAGGCTTAAATGATTTATATTTGAGAAATCCGAAGTTAAATTTTCGTACTATTAGAGGATTTCCCACTTCACATCTTAGTTTTGCTGATAATTTTATTTTATTTACTAATGGTTCTATAAACAATGTGTATTTATTACTAAATTTCTTGATTAGCTTTTATAATCAAAGTGGTTTATCTATTAACAAAGAGAAAAGCACCTTCATTGTTGGCAAATCGGTCAATAATAATAGAACTAATTCTATTCAGAGAATTTGTGGTTTTCAACAGAAAGCTCTTCCTATTACTTACCTTGGTACTCCCATTTATAAAGGCAAAAAAAGAAACTTCCTTTTTGATAATATCTTCTTGAAAATTGAAAAAAAAACTTCATAATTGGTCTTCTAATTTCTTATCTTATGGTGGTAGGCTCATTTTGATCAAGTCTGTTTTAAACTCTATGCCTATTTATCTTTTTCATACTTTACTTCCCTCTATTTCCACTTGCTCTAAGCTTGAAAGGATTTTTAACAAATTCTTTTGGGGATCTACTTTCAACAATAAAGGCATTCATTGGTCGACTTGGGACAAGAATTGTGGTATTTTAGCTGAAGGTGGTCTTGGTTGCAAATCTTTATCTGATTCTGCCAAAGCTTTCTCTTTTAAATTATGGTTTTCTTTTAGATCGAATTTAAGCTTATGGGCTCGCTACATGAATATTAAATACTGCTCCAACATTCATCCAACTTTATGCGTTCATAAGAACACTGACTCTTTTGTTTGGAAGAGACTGTGCAATATTAAATGGAATGCTGAGAAGTACATTCAATGGGGTCTTGGAAAAGGTGACATTTTTTTCTGGCAAGATAATTGGC